ATATATATATATATATATATATATATATATATATATATATATATAAATCGTTCGACCTCTGCAGACCTCTTTCGCGGACAACTTCCCACGGGCACCACTCGCGCCAAATTGAAACTGGCCTTTGCATTCGATTAACTCGATGCGTGGCGACTTCGTCTCGTTCGCTGGACAGTCCCTCGTGTCGCATTTAGGTTCCTTCGTTGCTCCACCGCTTTCGACCGTCTCGCGTGACCAGTTGGGGGTGCAAGGTCAAAGCGACTGAGGAGCGCTTATAGTAATATTTTAGTACTTATTTAATTAAAATGTTATGGATTTTTAGAACTGGATTTTTTTTAAGATGTGGAAAAATTCTGCTATGATCGAACAGATAGATTTTTGATCGAAACATATTTTATGTATAATGTTTTATAATATAATATATAATATTTTAACAAGTTCAATGTGAAATTTAACTGAGAAATCATGGTTCTGTATTTTGTTCAAACTTGAGTATTTTTTGATGTTAGAAAAATATAAATCGATCGAAGATGTCAATTGTTAATGAGAAACACAATTTCCATAGGTATTTTTAAAACGAACGAATATTATATTCAATGTAGTTCCTTCTAAAACGAGAGAGAATTCTTGCTGAACTTTGAAGTTAAATTTCCTGGAACTTTAAAGAAGTTAAAGTTGTTCTCAAATGGATTAAGACCCGGCAGAGTTAGACAAACGGCCTCTAGCCAAACGATGTAAATACAGCCGATAATCTGTGGGGATCTAGAGACGTAGGAAATTTGTCAGACCGTTCCACTTGTATTTAAAGCTGCTTGCATCTTCGTCTTTCGTCTGGCAATCAGGATTTACCGTCTCGTGGACGTTGAGCGTGTCCGAACTAAATGAACCTCTTGGAATCTCGATGCGGTCTGTCCCGAAACGTTTATCTAATACCCAATACTCTCGATTCGTATATCCTGAGAGTGCGAAATTCCCTGATGGTAATTCCCCGTAGAATCTCAGATCCCTTGTGTTATAAATTAAACAACCCTCTGACTGCGTGTCACTCGATCCCTTCCACGGGAATTGCTTTGAATCATGGCCGAAAGATTTCGTCCTCAAGAAGAATAATAGAGCGGAACTATCAATTAATTCTTAATTCCTACTACCCTTCTCTTGGCACAACGAGAAATGAGATTTTAACCCTCTTACGATTTTTCTACATAGCACCATAAAGTGTAGGAAGAGAAGGGTGCATCATTTTTTTCTACTGTACGACACACTCTGTGTATGAAATCATTTCGATTTAAATTTATAATACAATTCTCTATCATAAAAATTCTTGAGGTATCTCTGACGAAAAACGCAAAGTCGACGTGAATGGAACTAAGGGAAAGAAGTATGCTTATTTGTACGGACATTGCTGAAAAGACAAATTCGCGAGAAAAATCCGGATGCGGGAATATATTTCCGGAAATTGGCGTTCTCTGCAACGACCGCCCATTGTAAAGAGAGATTTAATAAGTTACTGAACGTTCCTCTCGCGCAAAGTCGGACTCGCGGATAAATATACGAAAGGTGCTTCCGTAATGCGATATTCCACCGTGGGTGGAATGAGACGAAAAATTTTTCCGCTCAATTTTTCCGTCGTTTCTTACCGTCGAGTTCGACGAGGCCCCTTGAATTTTCAGGGAACCGAGCCTGCACGCGGAACGCCATTAGCGTGTACAATGGAACGGAACCGAACGCAACGACATGCGGAACGTATGCACGGGCCAGGTATCATTTGGCTTGCACCGCTCGAAGCATGTGTCTTCATTAGGCGCCGGCTAGGGGCGGCGCAGTTCCACTGAATCACATCGGGAAACCAACCATCGTGGCCTGAATTAAGCGCTAAATGCATCCCTCTGCCGCGCGCCAACCCCCGAAACCCCGGGCCAGAGAGACTCTCTCGCTCTCTCCCTCTCTTTCTCTGTACCTACTTTAAACTTCCTGCCTCCATCGCCTTGCAGTCTCGACCTAGCCGCTCGGATCGGCTGTTTTGCATACGCCAGCCATGAATGCACGAAGCGAGACGACTTTGAATTCAAAGTATGCAATAGAGGGACTCATAGCCGGAGCGAGTCGAAATTCATGCTTGTCTACAAGCTTTTTGGGCCCGCGCTGATTTCCTCTCCCCGATACTGCGCGCGATTTTAAAACTCGCTACGGCAACGCGTTCCCGTTGTTTCGAATCGAGACTCCGCTCGAGGAATTCTTTTTCTTCGTTTTGTATTCACGCTGGCGCCACTGGGTTTTCACTCGGGTAGCAATTAGAATCTCTCCAACGGAAATGAAAGATTCTTGAGAACGGAATTCTTTCCCTCGAAGAGGAAAATGATTTGGTAGTACAAATCGAGACGTTCGAGCTTGAAATTCAACGTTGAAACGACCTACGTTGAAACGAGCTACGTTTGTCGATGCAAAGCCGAATTAATCTCGCGTCGGAGCTTCGATTATTATATTTCGGAGGGGGCGAACGTTGCACGAGGCGTGCTACATTCGATTAGGAACTTTTGAACAACGCATCGGGCAACGATGGCATGGTCAGACAAACACACGGAACCGCGAGCAACTTGACGCTTGTGCGCCTAAATTCTGCTCGATGAGCGGCGAAGATGAGGCGCTCTCGTCGAGGTCGACGAGAGCGAAGTAAACCGAATCATCTGGATACTTGATCCCGTAGAAACCGCAGGAGGTGCATTACACGCTCGTTGCACCTTTGCCAGCCAGGCCGGCCAGCCTTTCCAAGAGAAAGGCTGCTTTCCCGAGTGGACGTGATACGCGCTTTGAGCACCAGCCAAAACTCCGTTCTCATCGTGCGTCTCTCCTCTCTTTTCGACGACGACGACGACTTCTTCTCTTTATGCTCAGGTCGTTTACCACTAAATCACCGTTACATCGACCATGCATTACTTTGCTGGCAGTGTAAACGCCACGCTGCTGGCCAGCACGTCGCTCAGTTCCGTTTTTCTCTGAAAATAAATTATTGGACAAATAATTGCGACCGCTCGGCGATACACTTTGTGCTCGGCGCAATGGTGGCAAATTTTACGAGGGAGACCGTTTACCCAGGCTCGTCCTCTCGCCTTCTTCTTCGTTCCGGCAATCGTTTTCGGCAAATTCCATTAAATCACCCTCCCGAGAGATATCGCGAGAGAGACTCTTGGTCGGGGTCTCGTCGAGATTTTACGATCGACGGGAGCGCGGAAGCGCGAACAATGCCGGCCGTGAAGGCTAATGCGCAGCTTCGCCAAAGCGCAAACACGCCGCGAGAGCCGTTTCTACGCACGAGCTGCGCCCGCCGACGAAACCGCCGCTCTCTATTATATAACGACTCATTTCGTTGGCTCGTAACTCGAGTTCGAAGGATTAATTGGAGCTGTTACTCTGTCGCGGCCAGACGGGACCTGAATCCCGTGCTCGTTCGAGGGTACAACCCTCGAGGTTGCGAGCAAAGGGGGTTGCAAAAGGCATGCAGGAGGAGAGCGACTTCTCGTTTACGGCTCGCAGTCGACGACGTCATAAATATCGCCTCGTTTTGTGCGACTTTGAGATGCCGTTACGTACCGCCGTTTTTCAGGAGCACTTTCCCCGTTGGACACCGGGGTGGAAAATCATTTTTATGGCTCGACGGATCGGCGACGTTCGAAGAGGAACGTGAGCTGACTTTGTTGTTAGAGGCTGTTTTGTTCTTGATGAAGTAGATTTTGTGAAATATATATGATGTATGGTCACTTAAGAAGAGCCATCTGAATAATTCTTTTAATTATGTAGACCAGGAAAAATGTTTGAAATAAAAGTTGCTTGGTTTCGAAGAAGTCATTCCTTTCGGTGGATGTACTCAGGAAATTCAAAGATCTCCATCTTCTTAAACGAACATCTTTTGAAGTATTTCTCAAGGTTTCAATGACGATCAAAGTCATTCAAGTTCATAAAAATTATAAGTATAATATGATCAAGTTTGTATTATGCATATCAATTGAAACATAATTTTATATCTTTTACGACATATTAAAAAGATCGTGTTGATTTTTAAATTTGTTTGACACAATTACGATCCTCCGTAGTTTATATTACACAAAAGACGTAGAGAGATTTGTAGAGAAAGACGTAAGTAATGTTGCATAAATCGTTTTTACACACGACACATGTCGGCACTCGCAAGTACTTCAAAGAAAAGCGGCAACCGTTCCGTTTGCGCGAATGAACGGATTACCTCGATCGGAGAATGCAAGAGGAAGACGCGTTTATTTTCGCAACTGGAACTACCCGAGGGCGGTTTGTATTACCCGGAGAGAACAGATTTAATTCCGAAGAAGATTCAGCAGCCGTTCGGCGCCTAGGGGCCTAGGTTGTCGGCCAGAGGTGGGGAAACGACGACGATAAGCCTGCGTACCTCTCGAGAGTTTTTTCAACCGTCTCTCGCCTCGAAATTCCAACGATCGAGCATGCTATCGGCGAATAAATATCCAGGCTCGGCCGCTGATTCAACGAGGCGACGAAGCGGAAATCTTCCAGCCCGTACGCTTCTCCACGTCTCCTCTCGCTTCGCCAGCCTTCTCCGCGCCTCGTTCTCCCCTTTCTCCTCCATCTTCCTTACCCGCTTGATTCCCGACGACCAACCGGGGATCCGTTCGTTTTCCGCGTCTCGAGTGATGGAAAGTTTCGCTCGGTGGCTGAGTCGTTACCCTACGAGGCGTCGAGGTTCCGCTCGTCGCTCGAATAAACGCGACTCGTGCGGAAACGAGCTGATTGGTACTTCAGCGGGCGTGTCGATCGATCACCGTTCAAACACCGCGAACAACGTTCCGCGATTTCGCGATCGATGGATCGCGATCGGTGGTTGGTGGTAGAAGGCTACGAAACAGACGTTGTATTATATTAGAGGAGGGAGGAGAACAGGAGAGTGGAAAAGTTGGTTGCAAGCTCGGAATAACAGAGTAGATCAGGCAGAGAGTAAATGGAAGAAACGGAGAGAATTCGACGAAGGTGTGGATTTAGTTTCGGTAGTAGGTTCGTTTGCGAGTTACAGTAAGAGCCTTTCACGCGAAGACGTGAAACTTTCACGGTTGCGCACGGTGTACGCGATACCGTGCGTCATGAATGGTGTAACAACCTTTGGCCGCATTAATGCAACTGAAATGTTAATAAACGGAGTGTTGAATGTTGAAACAAGGTTGGAAAAGTAGAAGAAAGAGGAGGAGGAAAGAATGAGGGCTAGAACGAAGTAAACTTTGAAGGAAAATATGCGCGGAACGCAGAATTCGTGAAAAGCAATTCGTTTCGTCAGTCGAGGAACAGTGAATCAAGAGAAAATCCTGGTCTAGAACTTTCAAGATTAATTTGTTTCCCTGATATAGAAACATATGACTAATTGTAAAAACTAGGACTGATTCCCTTTCCACGGTGATTCTCGCTCTTTGAGAACATTTCGAAGGAAAATAATGGCACGGTCGGGACGAAGCAGAATCGGATCGCTAACGGTTGATAACAGAGAGAAAAAACGAGAGGCTCTCGTCGAAAGGCATAGACGGAACTGAAGATTCAAGGGGGAGGAAATCGAATGAGACGGAGAAGAAAGACGCCGACGAACGAACGAACGAACGAACGAAAGGGGACGAACGAGGAGGCGCAGCGAATAGAAGCTGGACAAGCAGCGGAGGATGAGGATTCGAGTCGTGAGCCAAGCGAACGACGAGCAGCGAGAGCCGCTTTGTCCGGCGACCCGGCAATCCGGAATGCGGTTTCGTCCGGCGACGAACATTTTTATTTTTACCCCCGCAGTTTCGGCCTTTTGCTCGTTGCTTTGTTCGCGTTTTCTCCTCTTTCCTGAGGCAAAAGCCGCAAAGAAAGCGGCAGATGCATGCATTCCGATGTTGTCGTCGACAGGAGCACGAACTCGCGTGCTTGTCCCTTCTTTTCCTTACCTGCATCCCCTCTTATCAACTTGCTTCTTCGAATGTTCATTCGGGACGTAAAGTCTTACCCTGAAACCTCCTCCCTCTTCTGAAAAACTCTGCACGTTCTTACGAAGAGAACGAACAAACTCCATCCCCCTATTACCGGCGGTTCGAACCCACTGGAAAACGCAACCCCCGGTATTTCGATTTCGGATACCAGCTCGTCGAACTCGTTCTGCGTTCTCCAACGGAATTCCTCGTCGATTCCGACCAAACGATCTATTTCCTGGATTCCAATTACCACGTATCGAATGCACAGCAATTTCTCTTTCCCTCAGGCGTTCTGCAAGAAGCACTCGATTTTTATTTGAATTAATTTTCCTTAGTCCTCTGTTGCCTCTGTTGTGTTGCGATAAGTTGGATAAAAGGTTGGGAGAGAAAAAAAGAGAAGAGGAGAGATTTCGTTCATGATTTGTCGAGGAGTTCGTGATTCGGTAATATGCTACAGTAGAAAGTGCACGTGAGATTTAGATGAGTCCAAGGCTATGATCACATCGACGTAATCAAAGTAAACATAGATATACAGATGTTTCGTTCGCCAAAGTGCCAGTTCATTCGAACCCGTCTGCCTTGAATTGCGAGATGCATCAAGTTTGACAAACAACTCGGTGTTCTCATTGTTGGACAAGTCCTGTCGTTTATTCTTTATCCGGTTCTTATTGAAATTGAGTTCTTCTTCAATCCAGAGGCTATTTTTCGTTCGTCTTTCTATCACGGGAAGAAACTGTAACTGCTAGCCTGCAGATTTTTATAAGAAATTTTAGAATGAAAGGTTGCACCAAATTCACGGAATATATACGAATTAGCATAAAAATTCGAAGTCTGGTGATCATTTCTTTTTCCTGTATACACAGTATACTTTGGAATGGAAAGATCTTCTATACTGTACAACCGTCCCCAAAATTTTCCCCATTCCGGGTGGCAGACGATCGGACGACTAAATAGACCGAGGGAAGGGAAGGGGAAAGCTAGAAGCGACGGTGAATTCAGAATTCAGTAAACGTCACCGAGCTCTCGCTGGATTTATCGCGAGAGGGCTGAGGTAGGGCTCGGCGACAGGGGTGGAAACGCGAGAACGGGCTGGAAGGTCGAGGCCAATTAAGTGGGCAGCAGGCCGCTATCTCTCGTGGCCAGCCATGAGACTACCACGCACCTCATTATAACCTACAGGCCACGTTATAATCCCAGTCGCGTTACAGTATCATTCGCAGATCACTCTCTGTCTCTGTCCGCTTAATGCCCGGGTCCTTCGCGCGTTCTCGTTCCAACGACGAGGAACCGGCTGTTTCGTACCCTATACGGAGGATCCGAAATCGAGGGCCGTTAATATGGAACTACATTCCATTAGCGTCCGATAATGGCGCTTCTAAACTCGAAGAGCCTCGACCTGTTACGGAGCTTTCCGCGTAAACTGCAGTTGCTATCTCGTGACAACGAACGAGCTTCTTACGTGTCAATTGCGAGCGAATCGCGTCGAATGACTTCTTCATTTCCTGTTACGAGCAAGTATTTCAATGATATTTTTGTTGCAATGGCAAGTCGGAGTAAGTAAAATCCATTTTGTCAAACTATTATATTATGTAAAAAAGTCTGGAAAAAGTTTGAGAAAAGTTTTCTTTATATTCTGTAATATTCAGTTTGCTCAATCCTTTCGCGTATTATTCATCAAATTTTGAATCCAACGTGTTCCCAATTTCATTGCACTCTTTTGTTAGTTGGTGGAATTGGATGTTTTCTTCGTTTGACATTTATAGCAAGACTTCGAACTGCTCACGACAAAAGCTGAATAACTTCTTTCTTTTTCCATCTAACTATTGTGAAATATTTTTAATATCAAGTCTAGCGTTCTACGTTCTTCACCCTTATATCATATCAATCGTATTCTTTCTCCTTTCCAAGAACAAGTCTGCATGCCAGAATCTACTCAGCATATTCTGATACATGGCAGAGTATTTTTAATTCAAGGCCACTCGAAAAATGCTATTATTAAAAATTGTTTATGAATTGTACCAGCCAGACAGAACGAATGAGATTCGTTCGAGGAAACAGATTAAATGGTACAGTGAAAGCAGAAAGGGATGGTGGAACGTCCAATGGTATCCCCCCCCCTCTCCCTCCCCGCGTTGATTTTCGTGCCGCTTCTCGTCCTTCGGTCAATATCCGCTGATTAATAATCCGGTTGCGTGGAATTGGTCGTTTTTTCCGTCGCACGCGGTCCCGCGTTTTTGTCACAGAACTCGCGCGCGGCCACGCATGAAATCCGGTATTTATGAAGATATGAAGCGACAACACGCATAGATCTCATTTCGCTTCGCGAGTCTACGCCCGGCTTCCCGTGCGTACGCTTCCTCTTTGTTGAGGCTTTAATTAAAAATATTAATAATGGCGTCGCCGCAGCAGTGGTACCGGAGGGAAAATACCGGGCCGCCGGACAACAAATGAGTTTGGCGCGGACAACAATGGCCACCGTATGTGAGTAATATTCGTTCAAATATTAAACCGCATTCTTTATTTTTTTCATTGTACGCGCAATAACGATCCTAGATAAAAGCACCAACTACGTTAACAATAAAGTGACCCCGGCGGGCTTTGTTTCCCTTTGAAAATTATTGCGAGGACTAAACGCGCGGATTTGCGGAGCGGCCGCCGCCAATAAACAGGAAACTAATAAATTTCCATCGATCTTTTCGCTCGACTCGCCTCGAT